GTGTGTCGTGCCATGTGGGACTCTCGCCAGCAGCCAGGGATCGAACCAGCACTGCAGAGGCTGCAGGCAGCTTCGCAGCCCAGCGCTCAACCACTGCACCACCAGGGGAGGCCCCGGATTTAATTTTTGATAACAACATATAAGAAAAGATAAAGAGTTATCCCTCTGGTTACAACTGTTTTTGTTCTTAAATGGTTTTTTTTTTTTTTTAAAGATATTAAATATTGCTTAAAGAAACTGTTTAAGATGGAAGAAATTAGTCTCAACTCATATATTAGGTGAGTCTGTCAACTATTTCATCCTGTATGCAAGACTTTATTTTGCTTGTAATTTTATGTATTTGGTAAATAGTATGTTCTATCAACACAATTACTAAGGAACTGATAAGAATCCTCCTTAGACAAGTGAAATAAAATTCTGTATAGTAACAGATAGCTTTTCTTAGCTGTGATCTGACTGAAGTCAGAAAGGATATGATCTTAGCAATTGTACTCTGGACTTCCTTTAAGTGTTCACATGAGAACCAATTATCTTAGAAGTTCTGACAGCTCTGAACTCAAGCAATGGTATATAATTTCAAATAAAATCTAAAATGTTTTCCAGTGAGAATTACAAAATAGCCTATATCTAGGAAGGCAAACAATACACTGTACTTGTAGGTTCTGATTGCTTCTGTAAAAATTCGTATTATTAAATATGCTTACCTTATAAAAAGGAATACATTCTATATGTTTAGTACTCCACTATATATAAACTCCAGCTGTGGGATATCACCATGGTAACAGTCTTTTATGCTATGATGGAAGCATTACTAATTTAAAGAATGCAACATGCTTAAAACAGACAATTTCACAAGATAGTCATCAACTTGCTCATAAAAGAGCATACAGATGAGATGGATATTTGAAATGGCAGAGAAAAGAAAACTGAACCATTCTGATGGACAATGACTGACAGTCACTACCACAGCTAAGAGAATGAAATGCTTTGAAAATGAACGAATGAGTGAAGCAACTGAATGGTTAAGAAACAGAGAAAGAAAATTCAAGTATAAAAATGATTATGTCAGGTGACAATGTGCTATGTTATTAACCTCAGCTGTAAGGCAGAACTGAACAAAACCTTCCATTTGATGTACTGCATGTATATACATTCAGTCTACAGACAGGAATGGAGATAAAAAGGTGCAAAATCTCAGGTTACTGCTCACAAAGAACATGTGGAATGCATGTGCATTTATTATTTCATTTAATTAATATTTAGTGGGTGTATTTAAGGTGCCAGGGGAACCCAAAGATAAGTAAGACATTGGCTCTGGCCATAAGAATTAACAGTTTCAATGAGAAGACAGTCCTCTAAATAAAACATTAACAATTTAGTGTGACTGCTGAAACTCTTAAATAGAAGTATGTAAAGTGCTATGGGACCATATGGTCAAAGCAATAGCTTTTCAATTATCACAAAAAAAACTGATGCTTTATCTATACTAAAATTTAGATTTTAAAAGCTAAGTGGTTACCTTTAAGAGAGTAAGTTAATGTATAATTCACACAATTTATTTCCTTGACTAGAGGCATATCACTGCATATAAAGACATTTATTTAATTTCTCCAATGTCTAATTGTCATAGGAAAGCATAGAAATAACATTGACTATAATGAAAGCTTTATTAAATGGCAATGTTGACTGCCAAATAAGCCACTGAAGTGGAAGTTTATGGGCAATAAAATCTGAGAGCTCCATTCTTCTCTTTTTTTGGGGGTATTTTATAGAAAAGACAGATATAAAAATTTCTCAGCTCCCTTGACAGGAAGCTCACTAATGTGCCAGAGAGAACAGAACCTGTACCTTCTGAAGAGTGCATGAAAAGACCAGGGCATCCACCCCAGTCCCTTGTGAGCAGTCTATGCTCCTTTTACCCGAGCAGTGACAGCTTTCAGTTATCAGATGGATACAGGCTTCACCATCTGTGGAAAACAGGCCAAGACTGTAAGTTTCCCTAAAGTCCTACAGGATGAATATAGTCTTCCCCAAAGCAGTAAGGGGCTCAGAGTTCTAGAAAGAGGCTCAATGCCTCTCTCCAGATATGAATCACTGAAAAAAGAAAATCCATTTTGTAAAGAAAATGGAAATGCCCTTTTCCAGCTGGAAACACTACTATCTAGGTCCCTTGTACTTGAACTGCCGCATGGTTCTCAAAAACTTTTCTGTCATTCTCTATTATCCATGTATAATCATTCTTTAAATGCTTTCTGAGCCTTAGGTTTATGGCTTACAAAGGTTTTCTTAGAAGGGACAGATAGTAAGTACTTTAAGCTTGTAAGTCAAGATGCAAAAATCAAGGAAATCATGTACTTATTTATAAAATCATTTAAATATACAAACCTTTAAAATGTAAAATCACGCTTAGACAACAGAAAAATGGGACACAGAGTGCTGATTTGAGTGTTATAGTCAAATACCCAAAGTGAGCTAAAACCATTTGGTTATTAAAAATATTTTAGACTAAGACCTTACCTTCTTCCAATAGAACCTGCAGAATGACCTGACAAAGCTCTATCAAATAGTTTTGTAAAGGAAAAACAATTTCCATCATATCTATTTATAGTGGATATTTTAATACCTACAAGAAATATATCTATACAGTCCAATACAGTAGCCACTAGACATAAGTGACTATTAAGCCCTTAAAATGTGCCGTGTGACTGAGGATTAAAATCTTCATTTTTATCACATTTTAATTATTTTGAATTTACATTTATATCACCAGACAGGGCTAGCACACAGAAAACTGATTTAATAGTAACTTACATATAAATTACCAGGAACTAACTGAATATGTGTGAGATTTTTAGTGAGCTGTTAGGTTAGGTGCAAGGTATAAATATTTCTATAGGTTATACCAACAGATCTCAATTAAAAGTAACTTCTGGTGAAAATTCATTGGGAGTTAATAAATTTTCAGCATGTACATTATGTGATAGATCTGAAAAGATCTTCAAATAATGGTAGTTAAACTTTGTCTACCAAGTACAATGTGTGTGATATGGTCCAAAGATGGCACAAGAGACAGTATTGCATGATGGCTCATGAACAGAGTTTTTAAGGCAGGGAGACCTGCGATAATGCACAAATTCTGCTACACAGTAGTAATGGGATTTTAGGAAAGTTATTTCTACATCTTTCTTCCTCAATTGTGTCCTCTCTAGAACAGGAAAATAGCAATAGCTTCCCCATTGGGTGGGTGTGATGATCAAATGAGGTCAAAGATTTAAGAATCTCAAACAATGTCAGGTCATTTACAGTACTGATGCTACTATTATCAACATGTTAGTATATCTACAATGTCATATGTAATAACATAGTCATATATTCTATGATACTGTCCATATCCTGGCTTAGAACTCCTTTCATTACCCTGAAGGTGAGAGCTCCACACAGGGTGTGAAAGGGGTTCTAAGCCAGGTTATGGACAGTATCGTAGACTATATGACTATGTTGTTTCCAGAGGACCTAGTATGGCATCCCAGCTCTGCAGCTCACCTGGCTCATGTAGACAAGTCACATGACAAGCTTGAGCCTCATTCCTTCTTTGAAAAATGAAAATCACTTTCTCAAGTTGCTGAGAGAAGAAAATATGTGAAAAAGTTTTGTGCATATAAAATACATTAATACTGGTCTACTCATCATGAAATCATCTTAAAATCAACTCTTGCTCTTTCAATTTGAGTTTCTTCTTTTTTATCCTGAGTGTTCCTGAAGAATAACTACTTCCTTTCTTCCATCTCTTGGGTCAAAAGGATCACACACTTCACAACTGTGTGTGTGACACAGGAAGAAAGGATGGAACCAGAAGATGTTTCTCCAAGGGTTAAAATTTTTAATTTACTAAAAAATTATATGGAGAGTAAAAATCATCCCAGACCAAAAGCAAAATTTGTGAGTAGTCCTATTGGTGATGCTAATATACCTGCATATATAAGAAAATTTAAGGGCATGATTTCAGTGAACACTGGAACACAGAAAATGCAGAGAGAACATGAGGCTGTTTTGACGCTGAAGGGGTAATCCAAAGAAATGCTTCATCTGTCCAGCATGTGTTTCCTATCAGACGCATATAGGGAATAAAATTCTCATCATTCCACATAAAAGGCTAATAGGTTTTATGTTACCTGCCAAATCCTACAGAATTGAAATGGGGGTTCTGTGTAGGGCTGTGCAGGCCAAGTCTGAACTCAGCAGGGATGAGCACCAAGACTGTTTAGCCTTATCTGCCACTAGCTGGGGAAAGCGGGGGTACTCTCACTGTACTTTGGATTGCGAGTCGTCATTTCTGACTTTGAAAGCATGAGTTTCTGAGTATAATCTGAACTTTATGTAACTTTCTGTACAGTAAATGTCTATCCAGTTCTATTGATTATTGTACCTCTAGTCTATATATCAAGTTATAAGCTGGTTTATCAACCAGTCTCCTGTGACTCTGGTTACATAAACTCCAAGTAGCCAGTGGACTTCATCTACAGTGAACTGACAAAGTCAATTTTCTGAGCCAGCAATATTGATTGATAAGCAAAACACAGATTATAGTAGATTCACAGTTATAAATCTTATGTCACCACTTGTAGCCAAACAGAAGGCGGCTGGCAAGAAAATAACTCTAGCAGATATTTCTTTTAGACTTCAACAAATATTCATAATCAGTTACAAATTTTAATTTCCTTTCTGAAAATATTCTTCACAGATCTGCTATTGTCAGTCTTAACTCTACACAACAGCTCTCATTATCTCTCATTTTGATTTAAAACAGCAAGAGTACTTTCAGTAGAGTCTACTGCTTTCTTAGGCTATAATTTTATCAGACTAACAACTTTACTTGTATTTTCACTTCTGATTCCTAAATCTTTCCCAAACTCTAACACACTCAATCATACCCTATTTGTGTGCATTATTTGTTTTGCATGTCACAGGTCACTGATTAAACCTATGGTTTCCAGATTTACCTTTCGAACATTTGCCAACCGATTCATCATCAAGGACTCCTCTCGGTCGTCATCATCATCCAAGTCCAGCATGGGTATTCCAAAGGGGTCAATGATGCTGCAGCACCTGGAGCCTTCATCTCTCGGATCAAAGGGGTCCACAATTATGGGCTCCGTTCCTTTAATTTCACAGCGACAGAAGGGGCAGCCCTGGCCATCTGATTCCTGAACAACACAAAAATGTGATGATTAGTCTTTGTTCAAGTAAAGCAGTACTGAGGAGTAAATGTTTTGCAACAGTAAAATATATCACTAGAAAGCATTTAGGGTATTAAGTTGGGTGACAGAAGATCTGTTTTAAAAAGGTAATAAGATTAGAACAGGAAGACAAAAAATATGACAAATGTTCAGTATCAAATTTTTAAAAAAAAAATTCTTCTAAAAACAGGTTTGATTTCCCATTGAAAAGGAAAAAAGCTATGGCGCTTTTATTTTCTTGGTCATTTACAATATCAATGTTATCAAAACTTTAGTCCTATAAAAAACTAGAAATTGAATCATGTCCCTTTTTATCATAAGGCACCAATGCCAGTTAAACATTCCATAAAAATTTTTTGATAGTCATTATAAAAAACCAGTAGTATAATATAGAATAATCCATCTAAAAATTCTTTATGGACAACTTCCCATTATGTATGTGGATGGGTGTGTCTGTGTATGGCTAAATGTTTCCATTTTAAACACCTAGGTTTTTAAATAATTTGATAAATAAGCCAACAGGGAACAATAACACATTTATATTCAGAAACCATCACCTTTCCTAAGACCCTGTCCATCTGGACACAGCTCCCTTCCATATAACACCATGTGAGATAATGTTTTACCCTTCATATTGTTTTCAAAGGAAATACTGTAGAAAGATTAATGCAAGTACCTATGGATCATAAATTCATTTACTGATTTATTGAAAGTTTTGTTCAAAGTCTCAATTTCATTTCTCAAAACTAACTGCAGTAAGAATTCACAATTGGTAGGAAAATAGGACAAAAATGTTTTCATGCCCTGCCACTAATGGTGCCTTCTAGAGACAGGTGATACATACCACTCATGTTTTGTCTTTTTGTTTTGCATTATACCTTGACTTTAATAGTGTGTCATTTAAAAAACACTTAACTGAAAAGGTGTGATTCTAATCTTTGACTCATATACAGTGTTGTAAACCAATGAAACTTACCACAACAACAAAACAGTGACAATCATAACATCATTTTAAGGCAGAAATGGGATGGCTAGCACAATTAGAGATGAGAAAGATACACAAAGATAACATTTTTAAAGAAAACCTTCAGTACATAATTCTAGTTGACTCCATCCATTTGGAATGATGGGAAACTAGGGATCTACTGGCCCTACAGTGATAGGCTGATCAGCAGTGGAATTAACATTCTCCCCCTCCTCTCACTGGACAATTACTGAGCGTGCACTCTATGGGAGGGAGTTTATCCTGTCTCAAGTGTTACTAAGAGTAACAAATTGAAAATCTTTGTTACACACATTGTCAAAAAATAAAAACACTCTTTGGTTAAGGAAAAGAAATCACAATATACTCTCATTTATCTGTGGTCACGTAATTGGGGAAAGTTGGAATGGTAAATAGCTGAAGGTGGTGTGAAGAAATATAGACATATCAATACAAAATAGTGTCTCCTGCTCACAAGCTTACGTTCAGTGGGCTTCAAGGCAACTTTGGCTATTTGCGCCATCATTTTACAGATTATAAAAACAAATTTTACATTATCTTGGATAACTTCAGAGTTCTATTTTTTTAACACACGAGTAAGTAATTACAAAAAGGAAATCCTTTCTCCTAATCTTTCAGTAATAAAAAAAGTTAAATTTGAGTGCATATTCAATGTTATCCAGATAAATTTCTCTTATGAAAAAGTCAAAATGGATCCACATGCATGCTTGCAGTGGAATTTTCTTAAATAAGAACATCTGAAAGGTCTACATAAGAACATTTAAAAACTATAGTTCTAACCTGTAAGAGCAAGATGTAAGAAGCTGATGTTTTCTGTGTCTTTAATGAACCAAGGATGTAAGGCAGTGAGTGCTCTGGGCCCTAAGCAGACACTTCATTCATTCATACAGGTATAAAATATTCAAGCAAATTCCAAAGCATATTCAAAAACATAGAGAAAAGTAAAGTGAATATATTACAGATTGCCCAAATTTAACAATTATCAGTTCACACCCAGCCTTCATTTGTTCCAGCCACCCTTGAATTATTTTGTAGCTCTTCCCATTGATCACATACATTAACCTTTATGTTTAGCACATATATCCAAGAATAGTGGGCTTTTAAGACCCAACCATAATATAATTATCATCACTAAATATTAATCCCTCAATCTAAAATATTATAGTCATAATTTTTAGGGCAGTGTCTAGAATGTGTAAGCCACTGTACTTTGCTTGCTACAAAGGCTCCTCTTAAAGACTCCAAGGTCAATTTGCATGTTTTGGTTTAGACTGACTTCCAATTTATTTGATCTATTTCTTGAAAAACAGTAACTGAAAAGACTGAGTTTGGAACAGAGGAGGTGAAGGCAATAATAGCTTGTTGCATTGTAGATGGTACAAGGAAAAAATTGGAACAGTTCATCTAAAGCCAAATTTAGGTTTTTCTCCCATCTTGCCTATCTGAAAATTTAATACTATACAAATTACTGATGTGTATTAGAGTAGGTGTTTTATATGTCACAAAAGTTATATTTTGTTTATCTTTATTGAGAGTTTACATTACTCACTAAATGAAAAAAAAAAGTTTCAATGCACATCCAATTTGATTCATAAACAGATCACACTGAATATATCTCCTTAATGGTATTTACTATGATTTTCACCCATCAGTTTTGTTTTTTTTTCTAAAGATTTATTTTTATTTATTTATACAAGCACTGGGTACAGTCAGAAGCGCGGGAGGGTGAGAGAATTCACCAGAGCCAGAGCGGGGAGCAGAGCAGGCAAACTGACGAAATACACTGCTGAGGGGAGCAGCGGGCGGTAGGAGAGGTCTGCACGCCATGTGGGACCCTCCTCCGGTGGCCAGGGAGCAGCTGGGGATCGAACCGGCACTGCAAAGGCTGCGGGCAGCTTCGCAACCCAGTGCTCAACTGCTGCACCACTGGGGAGGCCCCACCCATCAGTTTTTATAAGATGACTTGTCATAGTCAAATTAGAGCTTAACCATAAATTCTCAAATGCCACTCTGGTGCTCTGTTCTACTGTCTGTCAGATGGCTGACTGAATACATTTGAAGAAGGTCTACAACAAACACATAACTAATCAGGATTGTAGCTCAATAATTAAAATAATGTTTGTCAATGTTCACTTAACACAAGATCAAGGAGCATATGCTAACGAAGGAGAAAGACAAATATCTCTAGTCCCCAACATAGTCACATTCTGTGAATTTTAGGAGGAAGTACTTGGGACTACATCCGTTCTAATTGACTCAGATTTCACTTCCTCAAATGAGAAACATTTCAAGCCAAATGATACAGAAGTTATCAGTGAGGACCACACTCATATGAAACTTAACCATTTAATATGTTCATAATAAAATATGTTAATCATTAATATTTAAGTTAATGATGTTAAATACAATTAAGCAAGCTGAGAAAAACAGAATAATTTTATTTTCCTAAAAGATTTCCCATTTTCCCAAAAATCCTATGCAAAAATCCAAATAAATGTTATCAGTATGATCTCAATGTCATCAATATAACATTAGATCAGTCACCATCCATATTCCTCCTGTTTAAAAATTCAGGTGGACAGTATCTCTTAAACATTTCCTTTTAATTATTTAAAGATAAACATTATAGTACAATTCATTTGCTCTCAAGATGACTGATTATTCAAGGGCATACTTGTAAGGCCAATAACTAATACTTTCCCATATATACAATATACATGTAATGCTTAGAGAATACATAGGCTTCCAAGAGTCTCATTTCTGGGTGCATTTTATAGTATGTGTTTGTTTTCCATCACAGTAACTTCTAATTTAAATCACCTTGCTATACCCTTCATATAAATTTTCAATTTAATATTTATCTTTTTAACATGGAACAACTATAAATAACTAGATAGAAAAATAAATCATACATACTCTGAAAGTAGCTTGGGTGCTGATAACTATTTTCAGAGCACAATATTTACCACAGAAATTCTAACTTTTTGTGGAGAATGAATGAAAGAATGAATGAGGATAGTTAATAGTAATCCTAAATAATCAAGAATGGAAGAGACTTTGGTTTGGTGCTCTTTTATATTGGCAAGGCAAGAAGACACTGGTGAACTTAGATTTTTCTAGTTTTAACCAGGGAGGTAGATGAAAACATGCAGTGATCAGAAAAGGACCACAGACAATTTGAATCAGGACTCTTGGATTGGAATCCTACTCCCATTTATAGCTGTATGACAATGACTAAACTACTTATTTGTAGGGAATAACAAGAGAATGCACATTTTAAGGTACATCTTGAAAATAAAATGAGGTAAATTACTTCAGAGTTTTCCAAAGTGCTACATAAATTCTAGTATTATTTCTATAAAGCAGTCTCAAAGACCAAAAAATATATATATATAGTAAGATTATTAAGGAAATAAGGAAACATCTTAGCATTGAGAAGAATTCCATATTCTCACAAAATAAATGGGTTAAAAACTACAAAATTATTAGTATATACATTAACAGTAATCACAAAGATGAGACAGGCATCCCCTAAGTGATTATATCAATTATTGTAATAGGAACAATAACTACAGTTCTAGACAGTATTGTACACATTATCTCTATATTAACTTATTTAACCCTTATGAGGTAGATACAATTATTATCCCCATTTTTCAATAAGAAAATTTTGGGTTTACATAATTTGAAGGAGACCACATGGCCAAGCAGTACTGAATAAGAAATAAGATGCAGGAGTTCTCTTTCAGGAAGCTAATCTTTTCATCTCTACATTGTCACTACACTATTATCATCAGGACATAGCTCTTCAATCTTAGAATCATATCCTAGGTCAAAATAAAGTTGAAAAATACCTGCCCATTATGGGATCATCTGACAAAAAAAAAATCTATTTTGTTCAAATTGCAAGTTTCAAAATTAAAGAAACTACTAAAAGTGACTGTTTCATTTGCTCTAAATAAAA